AAATGATCAATAATAAGATACAGATATTCTATATAATATTTTCTACATAATTATGCCAAATGAATAAATATCTGATGCTGTTGAATAATGACCTCTATCTAAAGCTTCTAGTACTATATATGGTAAAATTCTATAAATTCTATGTTTTCAGCATTTAGTACTATATTTGCTGTTATAGAAAGTCCCAAATCTGCAATATAAGCACTATGTAAATGTTCTTGTAGAATATTACTACTATGCAAATCTCGATAAATAAGTTCTTTAGAATGAATTATTTGAAGATCGGAAGCAATAATTTTTTTGACGCAATGAACCCATTGAAGCATATTCTAGAACAAGGATATAATTACCAGTATTATCTTTTGATATTTCATAGCATTTTAAAATGAAGGATGTTTATAGCTAATATCACAATATGCTTTTAACTTAATGTTAAATTAAAGTACTTAATATTTAAAAATTATTAAAGAAAATAATGAGCATATATATAAAAATTACCTCTTTTATAAATTTTTCGTTATAAGATTTTGATCCATCAATCAATTTAAGTGAAATATCTCTTAAAAAGTTTTGTTCTTTATCTAGCCATTTGGCATAAAATACTGTTGCAAATCCACCTTGTCCTATTTTTTTAATACTGTAATACTGATCTTAACTATATATATTGGATAAAGGTAGAGTATATAGACTTTTGGATTTTTTCATTGTCCAAACAATGAAAAATCCTGATAATCGAATAAGTCTGGACTAATAAAAGAGGGTTAAGTACATACTGTACTTGCATAAAAGGAAGACTTAAATGCAAAGAAATCAAATTTTACTTATTTAAGATCACATTCTCAAATGATTTAAATAAGCAAATAACCAAAACTAAGCACTAATGATATCAATACCATTTTTATTTTTTCTTAAAGTTATTTAAAAAATTTTTTTTTGATTAATAATTTAAGGATAAAATTAATAAGATACATATGTACTCAATAAGCAAAGGTTTAAAACTCTTATAAAAACAATAAGTACCAGTAATATACAGTAAAACCTCTATAAGTACATGCTCTTGGGACCAAGCTTTAATGACGTACACTTAAAAAAAGTGTCTTTAAGGAGGTCATCTATATGTTTTGACCTGAATTTAAGTGTGAGGTATGCATTTATGGAGGTGCACTTATGGAGGTTTCACTGTAATAATGCTATTGAGAATATGAGTTAGTTGTATATAAAGTGAGAATTTTTTGCATTATACATACAGATTTTTATTTTGTACTACTGTAACATGATTTTTTGCTAGATTCGCATAAATGATGTGACTTTAGCAGAGTAATTTTATTATAGGTATTATATAGATGGTTAGGAAAAAATTGTGATAGTGACTATAAGGTGATTGTGCCTATATAGAGGTATAAATAATATAAAAAGAGTTGGTAAAAAAAAAAGTGACTATATTAATTTTGTGACTATAGAGGAGGTAACTATAGAAGGGGGTGACTGTAGAAGGTTTCATTAGAGCTGTAGAACTTAATAGTTAAAAATAATATTTAATTTTGTTTTTTTAGAAAAATTAGCTTAGTAATAAGTTGATTTTATCAGGATTTGAGAAGTTATTACTATACAAACTTTTTAAACAGACGAGAATTAGATCTTATTTTTGCTATGAAGTCCTACAGTCCTAATGAAACCTTCTATATAGCTTTTTTTATTTCATTATGATTAGTTTTCGTATTTTTAAAAATATACTCTAAACTGTATAAATAATATAAAATTAAATTGAATTTATTAGCCAATCAGACAAACTTCTGCCTAACTTTAAATGCAGTAAACAAAGACCTTAATACTTGGCTCAAATATTTCTAAGTCCTAATTTAAGTCTACCACTCTAATGCATTTGCTCTTAGTAAATAAATTCCTTAAACATGTAAGTTTTATTTCTACAATATAAAATTTATCCTTATAATAACTAGCACCAGTTCTGACTTTATATGTAAAACACACTTAATACCCTATATTTTATGTCATTGAATTCCATATCCAAGTATCTTAAAAAAAATAAATATTGAATAAAATAATATACTTTATATTTATATTTTATATGTATGTTGATATAAAATAAAATTTTACTTAAAATTTTTTAAATATATCTAAATCTACTAATATAATCTTATTTAACTATTATGTATTGTTTCTTTTAAGAAATAATACATAACAGCCTCAACTGGGTGGCGAAGCTACCTATACCTTCATCTTCTAGTTATATTTAAGCAAAATTGCCTTCCTGACATTTTTAATTAACCTACCTGAAGTAGGTTTAGACTGCTGTTTTTTGTATTTTTTAGATTTTTCGTTTTTATTTTTTGGTTTGCTTCAGCAGCGATCATCAATATTCTGTAATTTTATTGGTTAAATATCATGTGATTTTGCTCCACTTTAGATGACCCCATATTTGGTAATATCCCTGACTGTATTGGGTTATTACTAGTTAATGTCAATTGATTATTACATAAGAATATTATTAATCAGTACTATGGTCCATGCTGTATGGTAAAAAAAAACTTTAAATAATAAAAAAAACAGCATTTCAGAATTGAGTAGAGTTTATACATTTTTCTAATAAAAGTAATATCATAAAGAAGCTTTAATTACTTGTTAATTAAATTATTTATTAATTTTTCAATAATTTGTTTAATTATTTATCATTACGATTCATTAATACAGTAAAATACACACTTATGTTTGTAAAACTTGACTTGTTTAAATTTGTTTCCTTTTGCTCTACTTATAGTGATTAGCTAATGTTTAATATTTTACTTAATTAATAATTAATACAGTAAAACAATGCAATTATATTTGTAAAACTTGACTTGTCTAAATTTGTTTTCTTTTATTTTACATATGGTGATTAGCTAATGTTTGATATCTTATTTAAGTGAAAAATTGTATAAAAAAGGTAAAACTCTGTATCACAAATTTTATCATGTTGTATATAGTCTATTGCTCATATTCATTATTTTGAACAGAGCTGAGCTGAGCTGAGCAAAGCACCAGTGCAGAAAAACTAGTGAGTAAGCTAACTGTATATTATCATAAATAATATCAAAATGTTATGAAAAACTAAATCTTACTATAAATTTACATTATAAATTGCTATTTTTTTAAAATCTTTGATTTTTCATCTTCAGATTTTTTGCTGGCTTGATTAATTAATAATCATCTGTTTGAGCAAGACTTCCGTTTTTACTCATAATGATATTTTTTTGATTTTGTCAATCTATATATAAAATTGGAAGTCTAAGCCTTGTCCAATTACATATTAATTTTACATAGTAATAGTGTATAACAATATAACTATCTAACCATAAATGTATTAAAAAATTTTATTTTCTGTAATTATACTCATTCATGTGCTTATTTAACTTAGCACTGTTTCAAAAAATTAATAATTATGAAATTCTCAGTTTTTTGATAATATCTTTACAAAAATCTGTCAAAATTGAACTTGCTAAAAATAAGCAATTTAACGGTGCTGGTAATGTACTATTAACGTACAAAATTTTGCAAATATAAGCACTTTATTAGCATTTTATTACTAAATTTTAATTGTATAAATATATTTGTCAATTATTATGCTAATAAAATGCTAGTATTTGCAATATATTATCAATATTTTAGTAATAATAAAGGCCAAAATATTACCATTATTTAACCAATTTATTAGATATTTAAAGGCGCTGATAATGAAATAATCTTGCAATAAATTATTAAAATTGCTAATTTTGTACTAATAATGCACAATATATTGCTTATTATTTGCAAATAATTGCATACCTCGAAATTATCAGATTTTTGTAAAGATAGTAAAGATATTAAACAAGTCAAAGTACATACGAGCTTCCCATAAACGTTGATTAATCGGTCCAATGTCAAAAAGGAATGGAGAAGGTTCCATCAACTTTTGAAAAAAATATATACATACATATGTATATATAATATTTATATATATTTAAAATATGAATAATAAGCAAATAGACTTAATATTAAATTTAAATAAGTATACCTCTACGAATCCACCTGGTTTTAAAATTCTAACAATTTCATTCATTACACGTGGCCACTCATCTTTGGTATATGCATAAGACATAAATCGTTGAAATACATAATCAAAAGAATTATCTTCAAATGGTAAACCTTCCAAGATATTTGCTTTAATAAATGTGAAATTTCCGGGCTTTATCTGCGTCGGTTGATGTGGAGATATATCTATTCCAACAACTTCAACCTTCGGATATCTAAGAATCATTATGATGATTAATAATTAACCTAAAAATGAGAAAACGAATTATTTAAGAATATACATACGTGGTCGCCATCTCAAATGACCACGACCCTGCACCACACCTAAAATTACAACGATATGGATGTAATGTTAGCACGAAAGATTTTCAATAAAATATTTCCCAATTATGATAAACTTAATAAACATATTTTTCTCATGATGTATTAACAAATTTTAGATTCGAAATTAAGAAAAAAATCAAGAAATTATTTCTAACCAAGCACACTAAATAGGCGTTATAATCGAGAATTTAAAATTTCTAGTAATTTTTTTCAATTAGACATAATTACTCGTTATAAAGCCATTAGCACAAAATTTTCAAATCTAAATTTAGGGAATTGCTATTTCCACCATGTTAAGTTGCTATTTTCAGCGTGGTAAATCATGTAATTAGTATTGTTTCCGGAACCAAAGTTATGGGTCAACACTAGAGATGCCGTAGAATCGTCCCAATGAAGTCGAATGATAGTTGTCACGTAGCTGTAACTTGCCGTAACTATAGTAAGTAACATAGTTAAAGTTACGACATTATAGCTGTAACTTTACTTATTATTTACTATATTTACGGCATGTGACAACTATGATTCAACTTCATTGGGACGATTCTACGGCATCACTAGTCAACACTCAAGTGGTAAATCCAGTTATTGTTGTACATATAAGACCCTTAACTCTAACACTGGTTCTGGTCATCATTGCGCATATAAGCACCCGTTGTACCTATAGCATTCCCTCTACTCGGAATTGTGTCATGTGACACAGCTACGACTACTCGGGGGTTTCAAAGTTAACAAATGAGTGGCGCATTTTGAAATTAAATGAGAGTTTGAAAAATCTTATTTGTATTTCAAGTTTTAACATCGGAAAATGAAATGGGAGTGTCTGGAGATCCCTATTTAACGAAATAAATAGGCTTTTCAGCGACAAAAATCATCATTTCAAATTTATCAGAAAATGAAATAAAGTTGACACATCGCCCATTTGAAAATAACTGTAACCAATTTCAATTAAAATTAGATTTCCGCATTTAACTTTGAAACTCCCTACTGTAAGTGTATAAAAACTGCGCACTCAAATTCTAACTCCAGCCAAGGATTTACCCATAGTAGAAATAGCAAATTACCATGATGGAAAAGGCGTTTCTTTTAAATATAAGAACCCATTTATGACATGTGTTAACAACAGCATCATGCAGAATTATGAAATGAAAATGTGGAAAATGACATTCTAAATCTATCGTGGTGCACTAACAACAAAATGTCTAGGACGCAATTTCACATAATCCCAGAGTTAACCAACATAATAATCACATACCCGATGTCGAGGATTTTAGCACCTTGTTGATCTAAAATATGATTGATGGGGGCAGAGAAATTGCTTTGCCAAAGATATCTCATCAAGAAATGTTGAAGATGTAATCTATCTTGTTCGTCTTCATCATTAGGCATAGGATATATGGCACCTTCTGTATTATGAAATCTTCTGCCATCACGGTATTGAAATTCACTCTGTGTAGCTTGAGAACTCATAGTTTTAGATTCTCTTTTTAATTTTGAAACAATGCAACCCATGTAAGTATTATTTTTATACTAATCCCGTTGTTGAGGTGTTGTGGCAAATTCAATTAAAATTTCTATTTATATAATTTTGTTTAAGATTATCATTTATTGAAAAAATGAAAAGAAAACTCAAAGTTTATTGAAACCAGTATTTAAGTAAAATGCCAAACCTTTTTTTTAAAAAAAGTATGCGTATGTACTGTACGTACATGAACATTTGATATACATCTGATGTTTATATTATACACGACTCCAAGATGGTATGCATGTCTTTAGAATTTTTACTGTGAATCAAAACAATCATTTATTGGCATGTATAACATTATCTTCATTGAAATAATGAAATTTTATGATTTTATATACTGTCAATGGATCAATGGATTTGAGTATAAAATATTATCCGATGTACTCGGGTAGACACTTATGCAATTGGTTAATATTGATCTAGGTGTGACCATACACATACACACAAATCTTTTATTTCATCTGAAAGAATTTCGGATATTATTTTATTACACAAGTTGATAATTCAGGCAAATGATTACACAAGTTGATAAGTCGGGTATTTTTTTAATTGTCATAGTATTTTTGGTCTTGATTACGTATTAACATCGCAAATTGTGTTGTTCTTTTTGCCTATAATGGTTTCTGTTTAAATTTAATTAAATTCTTTTTATTTACATTTTTGCGCTGAAATTATTTCAGTTGTTATAATATATTCAAATGGTATCTTTGTCTATTTATACAGCAATGTTGGTTATGAGTTATTTTTGACATCTATTGTATAATATCTTCTAGATTTATTTATTAAATGATTTTGTTGGTTTATTTGCGTAGTTTATCTATTATTATTTATTCTTTGTAATTTTATAAAATTATCATCGTTTCTATTTTCTAAAATATTGGTTCTCAGTTGCTTTTGAGATTGGTACTAGCTTTATGTTATCAATTTCTAGAATATTATTCCTTAAATTGTGATACAAACAAATTTTTCTCCTTGTTTTAATCTTTAAATTTTTGAATAAAATTAGAAGGATCGATTTTAGTTACAGTCTATCCTCACTCTTAATATAGTCACAAATTATATAAAAAAAAATTAATTTTAAACTTTACCAATTATTTAAAAAAATTAAACTCTTTATAGGCACTATCACGTTAATTAATTTGGTTACCAACTAGCGTTTTAAACTTAATTAAATTAATTTGGATATTATTAAAGCTAAAAATCAAAATTATATTTTTTTATATTTAATAATTTTTGTATTATTTAAGGGCCGATAGTATTGTGTAACATATGTACCATAAGTGATTAGGGTGTCCCATATCAGTCTAATTACAAATATAGTGCAGGTTACATAGTGATGATCACTAATAAAGATTTTTTTAATAAAATTTTTCGGATCTGCACTCTATATTAAACGATTATAAAAAAAGACTTTACTTCGCCTTTAATTCCTCCTGTAATATTTAACATTTTTTAATTCTGTAAAAGCAAAACATTTAATAAAA